CCCTCCCTCCCTCTCTCCCAGCTCCGTGCTGGAGTGATCTCTACGCCATGGAAATATCCTGCTGTCAAGCCCCTGCATCAGCTGGAAGGCACTCGCTCCGAGGTGTATCTGGAGAAGGGCTCTGCTGTGTGCGAGCCAGCACTGACTCATTTTTCAGGAACTGGAGGCACTGGGCTCCCCTCCATCCCTCCATCCCTCCCCTCGGCACGGGGCCGGCTCGGGAGGCCCACGCAGACGCTCCGCATTAGGGCATGTTCCGGGGAGCATGTGCTGTCCATAAACAAAGCCACTGAGAGACAGAAAATAATTTCCAGAAATACCAAAGACTTTTTCCTCCCTCCCTCCAAAGAATTCCACCTCCCCTTTCCAAACCCTGATAAATCCTGAACATTCAATAACTATTTCCAAGCACTACCCAGTGCCTGGGAGCGTTGGTGTTGGAGATAACACCAGTGTTTGCTGGGTGCCCTTTTCCCTGCCCCACTCCTTGTGTCAATAGCTTGGGTCCCAAATATTGCTGTACCAGCCAGAGCCAGAGCAGTTGGGCAGGAAGGAGGCAGCTGGAGCCCCCGGAGCTACACCCCAGCCGGGCTTCCTTTGGGTGCAGAGGCTCTTTGGAGAATCTGAGCCCTCCGGAGCTCCCACAGCTACACCCCAGCTGGGCTTCCTTTGGGTGCAGAGGCTCTTTGGAGGATCTCAGCCCTCTGGAGCTTGTGGCTGCTCAGCCATCCCTGGGGGAAGCCGCCACTCCAGGCACAGTGAGCGCAGGGTCTCGCACTGGAGCGGGAGAGGCCGGAGCTCCGTGGACTGAGTGCGTGGGGAGGATGAGTAGAGGTTTATTACTCACTAGGATTATTACTCACTGTTTCTAACAGTGTGTACTTCAGCCTGACGCCTTTGGGCGAAGGGAAGCGCCTGTTCCCGTGGCAGGTTGGGAGAGGCGCAGCACACGGCAGCGCGGAGAGGAGCCTGGTGAGCTTGGGATGCTCGGCAGGGCTGCAGGGTCTGGAGGCACAGCTGTACCCCGGGAGGTGCCCTGGGGAAGGGTGTGTGGGATGGCGCTGTCCCCGTCCTGGCCGCAGAGCTCCCGCTGGCCGGGGCTGTGCGCGTTGTGCAATGGCTGGGCAGGATCAGCGCTCGGCACAGCCCAGCGGGGCCATCGGCGGCCGGACCTCATCCCAGGCTGCTGCCGAGGTGCAGATGTGTCTGTGGCGGGGGTGGAGCGCAGGGGCTCGTTCCCATCCGCGAGGCTCGGGGCGGTTTGCCGGGGGTGGCTTCGTTTGGGCTCCAGCGTCCCCCTGGAACGTGAAAAAGCTCCTGGAACAGAGAGATGGAGGGATGGTCAGAGTGGGATGGAAGAATGAGGGCCGTGGAGGGCACACCCCCACAGCCCCCTGAGGCAGGATCAGGCTCTGCTGGGCCTCCCTGTGCCAGAACCCAGCTCCGGGGCTGCCCTGCATGCAGCAGTCCCCTGGAAAGGGATGGGGACCTGAGGGGATGGGTGGGCTGGGGAGCCCAGCGTGGGAGCTGGCAGGGACGAGAGCGAGCTGCAGAATTGGCCGTGGATGCCGGGGGATTTCTCCCCACACAGCCACTTCAGAAACAGCTGTTGGTGGAAAGAGATCTGCTGCAGCTGGCTGACCCTCTGGCTCCAGGAAGGCCTCACCATGGGGCTGGCTGCTATGAGCCCTATAGATCCTATAGGGAATGGGGGGGCTGGAGCTTGCAGTGAGAGCTGCTTTGCTAGGGGTGGCACAGACAACATCACATTTTGCTGTGGATAAGGGATTTCCCTCAGTGAAGCCATGGGTCAGCAACACCTGACAAAGCACAGGAAGAGGAGAGCAGGAATCTCCCTTTCTTTAACCGGCGTTAATGTTTCTCTCACTATTCGGGGAAATCTTGCTGCATTTGGTTCTGCTTCGCCAGCGGATTCACTCTTGACACATCAGCGCTTTTACACAGGGAAACATAACCCTGCCAGTCAGTGCCAGGTCGTGTCAGGCTGCTGAGGGGTCTGTGGGGACCCGCTGCTGCAGTCTGGGGACATCCCTTGATCCAGGGACATCCTGCTGTCCAAGCTGTATGCAGGAGGAACGTGGCCTGTGGTGGATGGTGGGATGGGGGAGAGCTGGCCCTGCCCTGACTCTGCTTTCCTCCTCCACAGCTTGTAGGGGCTGAGAGCCCTGCGGAGACCGGGGCCAGCCCGGGGCCCCCATGGAGTGGGAGTTGTGGAGCCCAGTTGCCGAGCAGTAGCTGCAGCAGTGGGATGTTTACCTGGCGGTGCCTCATCCTTTGGGCTGTGCTGGTCGCAGCCGCGCTCTCCGCCGCCCGGCCGGCCCCCACCCTGCCCAACCAAGGTAAGAGCCCTCGTCCTTTGCGTTCCTCTCGGGCAACACGAGCTGCTCTTCCCTGCAGCAGAGGCAGAGACTGGCGTGTGCTCCAGCTGTGGGGCTGCCAGCATGTCCCCAGTGCCGCCGGACTGGTGCCTCGGGACATGGCACGTGTTGTCCCCAGGGTGGTTTGTGTGGGCACAAAAGTGGGTATGAGGCTCCAGCAGTGCCTGGGGATGTTTTAAACCTGGAGAAAGATTGTGGCAAACCCTGACGTGTTGGTTTGGAGGGTTTGGAGGAAGATAAAGAGCCCTGGGGGCTGTGTCCCCCTCTGGGGTCACTCCATGTGATGGCACTTGCAGCCGTGTGACAATCTGTAATCCGGGATGTGTGTGAGGCTGCTCCCCCCTGGACTTGGCCCCTCTGGGGTGATCCTGGGCTCAGCCATGGGGGGATGGAGGTTTGGGTGCGGGGTCCCGGTTTTGCCAGCTGGCAGTGCTAGGGATGAATGCACCCCACAGAAGCTCTCGGGATGCTCCAGTGTTGCCCCCAGCTGGGAGTGCCCAAGCCCTGGGCTCAAAGCCAGAGCTAGCTCAGGTGATTCGTGCACTCCAAATCTCTGCTCCACTGGGCCTGGGGAGCGCAGCCCCTGAGCAGGACATCCCCCCTTGTCATTGCTGCTGTGTCCCAGCAGCAGGGCTGCTGGCAGTGGCCAGGGGTGCTCCTGCCTCAGCTCTGGAGCGGGGGCACCCAGGGCTCAGGGATGGGCCAAGTGGGTCGCCCGGCCCTGGGCAGAGCCGGCTCTGGCGGAGAGCCCTGCTCCGGCACGTCAGAGCCTTGGCCCTCGGTGAGGCAGAGAATAACCAGACCCAGCAGCGCCGCGCGGGACTTCCACTCGCTCCTTTTGGTTCTAATTACCCAAGAATGTCTGGTCTGTGGGCACTGCTTTGCTTTTTAAGACTCGCTCCCCCTTCCCCCTTCCTGCCAGCAGAACCCTGAGAGGCAGAGTGCCGGTGTGGCCGGCACGGGCACAGCGCTGCACGGTGCCCCGGGGGTCCCTCAGGGGAATCGCCAGGTGAGCCTGGCTGCGAGAGCCTGGGTGATGCTGCTGCCTGCCAGGGATGGCACCCCTGACTGCAGCAGGTACCCTGGTCACAGGTCACAGCTGTGAGGTGACACCCCAGGAGACAGCTGGAGCCAGGTGTGGTCCCTGGGGAGCTGCAGCTCCGGAGAGGAGCGCGGGCAGAGCTTTGCTCACAGGGACCATTGCTGAGATTTTTCCACTGGCGTGCCTGCTCCCCGCATCTGTAAACAATGCGGTTGACAGCAGTAAACATGTTTTTCTCAGGAGATTGCTCTTCCTGGAAGAGGTTTCCTGGCAGTGTCTGGGGAAAGGATGGCTCTGTGCTGCCAGGAGAGCACCACCTGCAGCCCCAGCCCTGGCTGTGGCACTGAGAAAAGTTGGGGTGCAGGGGCTGAGGGGAGCTGGTTGAGCACAGGTGAATTTTGGGGTGCGTGAGGAGCCCTGCAGCCCCTGGAGGGTTTGGGAGCAGCGTCAGGCGTGGCAGTGGAGGAGGAGAGAGAGGAGGGAGCTGGTTCCTCGCCAGCCTCATGCCAGGGCTAACAATAACCTCTGGAAACGTTTCCCGACACGGTTCTCACCAGGGCGGCCCAATTAGTGCCACAGCAGGAGCCCGGCTGGGGCGGAATCCGTCCCTTGGCTCGGGAGCCGACTGGTGGGAACAAAATGTTCCCAGCAGGACGTGTGTGATGGGAAGAGCCAGTGCTGGGCCAGGACCTGCAGCCAGGGCTGAGCCACCAGCACCTCTCAGGGGCAGGCTCTGAGCCAGGCCCAGGGGTTTTGGGGTGCCGTGGGGTGTGGATGGGGTTCGGCTCCCGTGCTCAGGACCATTGTGTCCTGGGGGCCAAGGTCTCTGTCCTTCCTCCACAGCACCATGACCCAGGAGCATCCCCCATCACCTTGGGGGCCACACTCAGTCCCCTCTGTGGTGGAGGCAGCAGCTTTCCCAGACTTTGTTCTGGATGTTTATGGGGTTTCAGTTTACTCCCGGTTCTGAGGCAGCTAAGCTCCCTTCTCAGGGAGGAGTAATCCCCCGCGGCCGGTCAGCGGCCCGGCCTCATGCGGAGGGAGGTTCAGCTCTGGCCCCCCTCTCCTTGTGGTGTGGGAGGGAGTTTGGGAGCTCTGCTTGTCAGGGGCTCCCTCCCAGTACCAAAAAATCTGGAGCAAATAAAATATTAACAGGCACTTACTGCGTTTTACAGTTACCTAAATTTGGAGGTGGTGAAAAAACCCTGGTTAAGGGGAAAAAAACCCAAGAAATTTCCATGCGCAGCCTCTGTCCCTCCCTTGCACAAAGCCGCTCTTTGTCTCCAGGTTAAATAGAAACCTGCAGAAAATTGCCAAGGTTTTTTTTCCCTCTCTCCTTGTCTGCCATTGTCCCAGCCGCTGCTCAGGCATCTCCTGACAGGGGCTGCCATGGCCCTGCAGGCGGTGCCAAGTGGCCGAGCAGATTTTGGTGGGGAGCCGTGTCCTGGGGCAGGGGGGTCCTGCCTTGGGCAGCTGTTTTTGGGACACCCTGAGCCCCGGAATGCCCCAGCGCAGGGGATACTTGCCCGGGGGTGCATCTGCACTGCAAAGCAGAGGGGATTTGGCTGCAGCCCCCTCCCCGTGGGGCAGGGTCCAAGGGCTGCCCCATTTCCCAGGGCTGGCCACAGGCTTAACCCCCCCGGCCATCTGCGGGGCCAGCAGGGGCCCTGGCTCCCGGGGCTTTGTTGTCCCCAGCTCCTTCAGGGTGTCTTGCTCTGGACCTACAGGAGCTGGAGGGCCGGGGCAGGTGATGTGCTCAGCCCGGGGAGCTCGGGGGAGCCCAGCCGCCCCACGGGCAGCGCCACCAGGTTCTGCGGCTTGTCCCCACTGCTCCCCAGGCCACTGCTGACCCTCGGCTCTGTCCCCCTCTCCATTTCCCTGCTGTCCCTCCTTGTTTTCGCAGCTCGAGGTGTCTCGCAGCCTCTGGGGAGCCCCAGGGGATCCCCAGGGATCCCGTTTGGTGGAGCCCCGCAAGCAGCCGGGGATTCCCTGCCAAGGCTGCAGCTCCTGCCCTTGTGCTGCGGATGGCAGCAGCCCAGGAGTGCTCCCGGAGCTCGGGGGGCCCAGCCAGACCCCAGGGCTGCAGCTGCCCAGTCCCGAGGCGTGGCCGTGTCCTCCGGGGCATCTCAGTCCGCATTGTCCCGTCCTCCCGCCTCCCCACTCGGATGCTGTCACTCTGGCCCTTAATTGAGGAGGAAAAAAGAAATACGAGTCTTTGGGGAAAGCAGCCAGAGCCTGGGCTGAGGAGCTGTCGGAGGGGGAGCGGAGCCATGCCGGGGGGAGCAGAAGGGTCCCCGGCTGTGGAGCCCCCCGGCTGTG